TTGTCTCCCAAATAAATTAAAATGTGTGGCTTAGCATAAAGAATACTGTTTTAAGGGAGAGAGACGTGAATTTTAGTCTCAGTGCCTTAAGAATGTTTCTGATGAGACCCCTCCAGTCGCCTCAGGGATTCTAAACTTTTTTTCCTCAACCTTCACTTGAAAGACAATTTGAGATACAATCCTCAAACTGTTCTTTGGACACAGGCAGGATATAAATTATAAATGAATTCAAAATAAATAACTGATGAAAAATAAACTGTACTCAGAAAAAATTATAAAAGGGGATTCTAGAGCAATAACTTAGACTTTGCTGATTGGTAAGGAAAACTGAAAAAGCAATGGACTATTCTATTTTGTATGTAATCTTTAATTCTATGCAGGAAAAAAACTAAAAATAAAAAAGCCCTAACATAAATATTCTGGGTCAGCTTGGAAGGACCACACTTCAGTAGATAGAATTATGTCAGACTGTTGTAGATTGATTAGCTAACTCTTTAGAACAATCCAGTCCCCTTTACTCAACCTTGGAGTTTCTCACACTTGCCTGATCATAACAATTACTTTAGCTTCTTTGGGGATTCTGCTTTGGTGGATCTGGGCTGAGACACAGAGATCTATATTTTTAAGAGGCCGTCCTGGGAAATATTTAGGATCAAGCTGGTTTGAGCAAACCTGCTTTACAGTGCAAGAACCAGTGATCTTCCAATGTTAATTTGATTCCTGAGATTCTTTGTAACTAAAAAAAAAAAAAAAAATTCTCTTCAGCTGTCACAAGAATTCTGGTCTGTTTGATAATATTTCAGTGGGAAAAAAAATCTTGGTAAATCATTTTTAGCTTCATTTGTGTAAATGAGCACCACCACCCACCCATTTCACCTCCCTCTAGCTAAGTGCCCTGCGTAAACCGAGAAAACTGTTCCTGAAACTACAACCACGTCAGACTAGAAGTGACCCTACCAAGAAAATCACTTTTTGGGTTTGATCTGAAATAGCTTACTGACTTCTACCTTTGCATTTAAATAGCTCAGTTTTTTAATATAAAAACTGAACAGCAGTTAAGGAGTACTTTAATGTAAACGCATTTTCCATGTGCAGTCTCCCTAGACCAGAAGGATGAAAAGGTGGATGGCGTGGGAAGTCTCCCTGAGGTCGCTTCCCAAAACTCAGCAAGACAGCTTCACCCTCTTCTGCATCATTCTGCACCCTCGCATCTACTTTCCCACAAAAGATTCTTTTGCTGTTCTTCAGCTTTCTATTCTTTCTAAGCTTCCTCTACCTATTTACAAAGCTCCTTTTCAGGGAGTTTTAGCCATTTGTCCTCCAAACATGTTGTCCCTTTACAATGTTGCCCTGTTCCTCTCTGACACTGGCCCTACCCTATGTTCTGCCATGTTAAAGTGACTCCTAACAAGTATTGTAAGCAGTAGATAAGCACCAAATACTATCAGAGGGAGTATTATCATACTTTGTATTTGAAATCATAAAATCTTATCTTTGCTTTCTCACAAGAGCACCATTATCTCCACTTTCCACATGGGGAAACATACTCAGAAAGATCAAGTGACTGGCCTCCTTCAAATCAGTAGCAAGCCTGGAACTGGTACTTACTTCTTGTGTTCTCTAGTTAGCCCATGTGCCTGTCATTAAAATATCATTTCATTCAAGAATTATTTACTCTTTCTTCCAGGTCGTTAATAAAGACATTAAACAAAACCAGACCTCACACTGACCCTATAGTCAACACATTGCCCTGAGTCATTAGGACTTGTCCTCCAGCCAGTTCTCAGTCCATGTGACAGAGCACTTTGCAAAGCCAATGCTAATTAGGTTGGCAAACAAGATTTATTGAGATACTGTATCAAATGCATTACAAAAATATATGTGTGTTAAGGTACATTCATTGTGCTCACTAAGTTTTTAATTCTATTGAAAACGCTATCAAGACGTCTGGCCCTATTTGTTTTTATAAATCTGTTCTTTTACAGCAGAGCTCTTTTAGCTCTTTTGATTCCATTATCCTCTCAGTGTTTCAGTCGTAACAGTGGTTCTGTTATTTTTTAAAAGGATTGATTTCACAATGGGAATTCGAGTACAGATTCCTTATTCCAAGGTGATTATTAATAAAATTAACAATAATTAACCCCATAAAAGAGAATTGTGGGCATCTTAGTAAGTGTCTTGGGACCAGAATGGGGATTTCTGATTTCCAGATCTCCTCCCTAGCACTAAACAGCGTGGTTTCAGGGCCAAAACTGACTGAGAAAGAGCTCAGAGAACTCTTGGAACTGTGTCCTCCAAATGGAGCAGCTCCCATTCACGTCTGATATTTAGACTTGTTTTTCTATGGTTTCCATTCCATTATGTTTAATTTTTTGTCCTAGAATTCCTTTTACTTAACTACTGCATACAAATCTTTGTTGATATACTGTAAACTTTACCTACACATTTTTTACGTGTTTAAGCCATTTATTTTATAGAATTCTTCGGTCTTTTAGTGAAAATTTGAAATGTCATAAAAGGCAAGGAAATTCCATTTAAACCAAAGTCAAAGTGGTCTCCTGATGACTGCCCTAAAGCATATTTTATATGAATGGAAATTGGGTCAGCTAGGAATTAAATTAACAACCACCATATTTCCATAACCACAATTGCATAACCTTATGTCCAAGATATTCGCAGCTGAGGACTTTACCACTGACTTGCCCAGATTGCTGTGCACATACAGTTTTTGGCCTGCTTTAGAAAAGGTCCCTTCTGGGCGGGCTTTTTATTTTTATTATTGGTCTGAGCCATTTCACCAGGACGATACGCTGTACGTATGTTCTAAGTAACACGAGTTTTAAAATTGCAATAGCCATCAACTAAATGGTCATGCTGGAAAACAGTAGGTAATTTAAAATTTGGGTATCACGTATAAAGCTCTCTGCTAATCAGTGGAACTCCTCATTGGAGTGAGAGCAATGACATATCTAGCATTTTGATTTTTTAATTAGAAGTATAATAAATGATATTATAAAGTGTTTGAAATCTGCATGGAAGAGAAACAAACTACACTTCAGCATTAAGTAAGGAGACCTTATACGTAAAGGGATCCCACAACTTTAACTATATATTCAGAAACATATACATAGGAATCATTTTATATGTGAAATTCTATGAACTCATTTCTTTATATTGCAAGCATAGCAGCAATTATGAATGCATGTTCAGTAGTATCAATTAATATTAAATTATATTTACATGCAAGAAAAATGCATGATTCAGATTTGAAGAGTTGCTTGGGGGGTCTTGTTCTGATGAGTTTGCCTTTATGCCTCAAGGACATTCTACACAGGCAAGTTTACAGTTGTCCTAGACTGAAAAAGACCAGGGTGCTTTATTATTAACAACAAACATGTGTGTTCCTTTTAGGATATCAGCTGCTACAGGAACAAACTTGCAAACAGTTTTCTGGGGTTACTCCTATGTGGCAATAAAATAGCTTTCTCTAAACTGATTCTTATGAGTTTGTATTATGCCATCATTTTTATTGTGTTGAAATATACAAATTAAAAATTCACATAACTATTTTAAATGCAAACATAGTAATTTCATAGATATTGATAATATCAAGACTTGATTTGGAATATAATTTACATACTTAAGTAACATGGTTTCACATTGATTAATTTTTGTTTACAAGTTTCATAAGGGTACGATATGGAAAGTGACTCACATTTCATGTGTTATGAGTAGAACTATCTTATGAAAAAGTAAGTCCTAATATTTTTGAGCATTTCTTAGGTTTTGCTCTGTGCTAAGTACATTACATACATATCTTGTATCATTGCATCCCCACAACAAATCTCTGAAGCGCTCTATTATTATCCCCATTTCACAGATGAGGACTGTGAGGCACAGAGATATTAATTTGTCCAAAGTACCAGCCAGAAAGCAGGATCTTAATACAAGCAGTCCTATGCAGAGCTCCTCCCTGAAATTCGTGCTACCAGAAGATAATGTAGGTCAGTAGGTTAGTGGTTCTCAGACTTGGGCAAGGGTCAGCGTTACTAGGAGGGCTCATTAAAACACAGATTGCTGGGCCTCACCATTGGAGTTTCTGAGACAGTAAGTCTGGCCTGAGACCTGAGAATTTGCATTTCTAACAATTTCCCAGGTAATATGATGCTGCTGGCCTGAGGCCCACACTTTTAGAACCACAGATGTGATTCTGGAAGTCAGGAAAATTGAGATATATATGGTGGAGATTACAGGAACTAGAGATGCTACCGTGTGACTGAAGAGAGAAAAGGGGGGCAATGGGACACTAAGAGAGCAAAGCAAAATGTTCAGGTAGAGGGAGTCTGGGGAAGAGGAAAGCCAACTTGGGGTTTGTGCCAACTTGCAAGTCTGCGGTCAGGAGGAGAGGGCAGGTAGAAAATCCTACTAGGAAATAGAGGCCAAACCCAAGGAGGAAACTTTAAAAAGGAACATTGAAAGAACCACAGTAATTTCTGCTTAAAATCTCAACCCTGGGAAAATATTTGACTTTCCTAAAGCATAATGATATAGCAAATAGCAGAAAATAGTGGCAAAGGCATCAATCTGAGAGGCAGGAAGTGACACTCAGCCCTAAGCTGCTGGATCCTGTGGCCGTCACTTTCCCTCTCCGAGCTCAGTCTTCTGGATCTCCATCTTGTTTATTCTGGTTCATCTCTAAAGCCCGTTCTTGCTTTAATGGTCTAAGTTTAAATTGAGAGGGGTAGTGGGTTATGACTTTCCAATATATTTGCTTTACAAATCTACTTCTCTCTTTCATCTATGTTGCTTATAAATTGATCATCCCATTGCCCCGTCTGAGTTAGAACAGAGATCTGTGAACTTATTAATGATTTCTTACTCAAAGAGGTGATGTTTACATTTGTCTCTGGTTTTGGTTTGAGTTTTTAATAGCACCTCTGTTAAATTGCGATTTATTTTTAGCAGCCAGAAAAGAGAGGATCACCTAATGTTTGATGCTTCTTGGGCCTGCCTTCTATGTGGAAGTCTGGGAAAGCCGTCAATATGGTCAATGGGAGAAGTGAGGTGAGTCAAGCTTGTTTTCTTTGTTGTAATTGATGGAGGCCACTTGGGGGCATGTTTCATTTGCTCTCAAATTAAGATGGCATGCCATGTCTCCTACTCACCCAATTCTTTGTATTAAAGAGCCAAAGCACTTTTTTAAATCAATAGGAGAGGGAGTTGAGTTTATTTCCATGTCTGGGTCTCAGAAGAATTTAGGAGAGGGATGTCTCAGCCAAGGGACCTGCAGAGGAGCATTGGGGTGCTCACATTCCTCTTGATGTCACTCCTGTAGGTGTCCTCTTCTCACATAGGGTGAGGCCAGCAATCCTTCAGTTTCTCTTTCTGTGCTATTTTTAACAAAACCCCAAAAGTGTGTGACAGTGGGGCTTGAGCCTGCCGTTGAGTTTCTCAACCAGAGCCTCCTGTTTCCAGCTCTATGTGGAATTTCTAGTGAAGATAGAAGATAATCATGATGGTGATTTTGTAGGACATACTTTTTGTAGGACAGGGAATTTGTAGTACTTTCCATTTTTTGAGTATAAAAACTATGATCCAAGAGACAGAAAGGGCTTACTCTAGGTCATCCAGAGAGATGGCAGTAGAAGCAAAACTAGAACCTGGATCACTTGTCTTTCATCCAGGAGATCCACTTCTCTCTCAGACTTTGCTACCAGCAAAGGTTTTCCTGTCATACTATTTCCCACTTGCACACACACTCACACGTGCATTTGCACACTTTCACATACTCATACTCATTACTGATACACTCTCAGGAACACCAGAACACCCTCATCCCAATGTGGCCTGCTGCTGAAGGCCCAACTCATCTACTCAGATTCCTTTTACTGGATCAAAGTGATCTATATAGGATTTGAAATCTGAGGTCAACACCTAGCCAAGGGTTTGGACCAGGACTTGGCCTGCATGGGAGTTTCCTGGGGAGGCTCTAACTCTGGTTTTTCTAGTGCTAGGTTAAGTGGCAGACAGTGGGAAACAAACTTTCACGAGAAAGTGGCCAGAAAAGGATCCAATGGCAGGATTCTGAGATCAAGTGGTCAGAAGGGAGTTGGTGTCCAGGAACCAATGACAACAAATGTGAATTTTAAAGACAAGTGTCCAGTAATTGAACAGTTCCAGATTCCAGGAACCAAGTCCAGGTACCTAACAGTGAGGTGGGCAAAGGAAGTGGCTGGTTTTGAGGTTTCTCTGGTATCAGAGGATGACGGGGGCGAGGGCATTGTCCCACAGTTCGTCGCTAACCATGAGGGAAAACGGTTTGGTTGTAGCTGGATTTTACTGGCCTTTTAACCAGGCGACCCTCTGCCCTATCTTCTGTGCCAGCTTGTGACACCTAGGGTCTTCACCTCTTCCTTAGACAAAGGAAGCAAATGTGACTGTAGCTGGGTTACACAGTGGCAAAACTTAAGGAGCACTAAGATGTTATAATTGATTCCTTTGTTGCAATAACTATAGGTCCCCCTCTCCCCCAGTTGGCAGTCTGATAAGTATCGCCCAGGTGAGATGGGGTTTCCTGAAGGTGCCCTGAATTCTCCTGGGCAAACAATGAAGCCTCTCAGGAAAGCACCTGACATCTGGTATGACAACAATCTAGACTATGTTCTCACAACCTCCCAGAAGCTGAATGTCAGGTTTATCCAGACTCGGATCATGATGATCACTGTACATGGCTTTTAATTAATCAACAAATTAGTCAACAATATGCAGATAGGTAAGATAATTATGTGGCATATCTATCACCTTCTCTTTATGTAGTCTGTTTTATGTCTAGGTAAAGTGGGTGGCCACAGGCCAGGTGAGATTTAAGCAGTACAGGGCAAGAAAGGACAGTGCTTCAACTGTAAATTCCACCTACTGTCAGGACACAAACATGATCTACTATATCCAAGGGTGTAACTATTCCTTTACCAATAATAAAGCCAGGAGCTTTTCACCCTACAAAGAATGTATTTACATTTCATCTTTCAATACACTTTCCTAAAAACATTTTTACTAAGAGGCTACAAAAAGGCAAAAACAGAACGGCCAGATTTCAGGCCAGTCCATATGCCAGCAGTGAGTTTGCAAATGCGGAGTCCTCAAGTTTTGTCAAAAGAAGGTACATACCTCTTAGAAATTAAAAACAAGTACCATTTCCTCGTGAAACTTGGCTTTTATTCTAAACCCACAACTGGACTAATTTGCCAATGAAGGCTTTATGTTTTAAAACTTGAAAGGGAGAAGTAGACTAAATAAGTTATATCTTAGGATTGACCTGATAGCCTAATTGTTATCTCCACACAAACCTTCACTTAAGGTTAAATTATGATATGGGTCTTCTTTGATCTTTCTACATCAGTTGGATGGTGAGTCAGTTCTCAGTGTTTACTTTGTATCATGATAATAAAAATATTGTAGCAGTTTTGTTTTACTGTTCAGACTTTCTCAAAGAAGTAATCCTAATACCAAATAAGTAATCAAAAACACCAAAGTGTTTTACCAGTTTTTCACATATCAATCACAAGAAAAACCTATCTCTAAGAGAATTACCTCTCTACAAGTGCAATGAATTGTGGAATACTTTTTTAAATGTCATGTTAAATCTGTACAACAATCAAACATGTAATATCATGTTTTTACATAGCATTCGGTGGATATAATTTTTTTCTAGGGTTCCTGATAAGTTCTTGTTGCAACTCATATCCACTAATTTTGTTTTGTTTTGTTTTAATTTGCCAAAACATATGCTACTGACCATATAAGGCAAAACGGCCCTATGTGTAGAATCCCACATGGCAAACGCTTGCATTTCAATTAAAACCAGATCTCTTGACAGCTTTATGCATCTGCGCCCCAGCCATATAAGGGTAACTCTGTCAGCATGCCCCTCCCCACTCTTGATCAGTGTAATCACTTCTATTCTTAGCACTTATTTCTATGAAATATGCACCTTAGGTGTTGAAGGAAGGATTGCTGGCTTGTCAGAGCTACAGCCTGCTGCGGAGTACTTTGTGTGGGCTATGAGAAGAGCTTTCCTGCCTTCCTTCCCAGCTGCGCACCTCTGAGTGGGAGAAGGTGTACCCCAAGCTTATCACTCCCCTTTGTGCTCTCACACTAAACTAGGAGGGCTGAAAAGAGGCAGGCTGCGCTGAGAGATATGGAGGCCAGTTTGTTCCCACTGAGCAAAAGAATAGCACAGAAAGGAGACCAAACAGTTGTTCCTCTTACATTGCCTGGAAGAAGACAGAGGCCATTAAATGAATGAATCATTCTTTGGGAACTTCTGTACCACGCTGATAACTGTATTTGAGTCAAAACTGAATAACTTTAGGGAGAAAAGAATCTGAAAAATGTTGGGTAGAAGACACCAGGGGAAAAAACCTTAAAATAGCAGTTCATTTTTATTTGCTTGTGATTAACTTGGAATATGGTCATTTGATGACTTCCAAGTCTGTTTAAATGGTGAAAAGGCATTTTTCCAGTATTTTCAAACCAACAAAAAATAGGTATTTATATTTCTACACTAGATTGTGGTTTAATTTAAATAGTTTTAATCTAAAAAATACCTATTTTTTATTAAAGTCCATTGCTGCCAGAATCAATCAGAAGTAACATAAGAATACATGTGAAGTGAGGCATCAGAATTTTCATTTGGGTTAAAAATAATAAAAGAATAAACAATTTTTAGTTGCAGGAACCACTGCTGACATGTTTCGTACCATCTAAAGCCTGGCAATTACATTACTACTTATCCTAACTCAAGCTTCCAATACATCTTAGAAATCATCAAGAAAATCCCCAGAGTCTCCTGGTTCTAGTTACTTCAAGGATATGGCCATTATTCATTTTGTTCATTAAAGAGACTAAAATTAAAGAGTCTAAAATACAGTTTCTGCAACAGTCGAAAAAGGTTAAAATGCCTTCAATTTTTCTCAACTCCTACAGTTTATGTTTGAGTTCCTACATTTCAAAAGACTGTAGGAACTATTTTACTCAGCCCTAGTACAGAGGAATCAAAATATAACATAGATTACTGTAATGATTATAAAAGTGTCCTTAGACTTAAATAACACTCTTTGAAGAAAAATTATTATAACTCAATTAGTTGATTGAGTTTGCCCTGGTAGGTGAAACTAAGTTTATTTTTGTTGGAATACACATGACTTTTAGAAATAGAAAGTTTCACTTGCTTTTATTATTAGATGGAATAACATACTTTGGGTTCAAGCTGTTCATTTGAAGACCACTTTTGTCTTCCTTTTTAGAGTAAAATTTTTTCCAGATACCCTGCACCTGTTTTCATAACCATGCCATAGTCAGAACATTTTCTTATGCTTAATATTAGTTGCTAAGCAGAATATATTTCAGTACACCAGATGTAAAATTGTCAATCAAGCAAACAATGCAAGTGTTTGGTAATCTGATAACACCTTAAATTAACAGCCATTCTCTGATATCCAGCAATCAGTGCTAGGACATTTAACTTGAACAGAGTCATGCTTTTTATTGTGTGAAATAAGAGATGTGATGAAAAAAGTCTGAAATCTTAATGTTTTCCACTGCTTCATTGGGGTTCTTGTTTGAGTCTTTTAATCCCTTTATTGAGAGCATTCTGTCATGACTGGCCATGTTCACAAAGGTAAAAAAGGTTTTATCAGCAGCAGACAGGATTCCTCTCAAATACCAACAGAAGAGAAATTGTTTTATAAAACACGTTTTCCCTTCATTTTACTTAAGAAAATATGAGGTCCAACCCAAGACTCTTAAATTAAAATTGTTTAGTGACTTTTGTCATTAAATTCTTTGATTTAATTTATTTACTCTTTCCAAATATAAAGCAACATGCAAAGGATGTACTACATTTGTTAACTCCGGTTTTAAGTAAGGGCTGCTTGGTAAAGTGACAGGAGGTCGGGTAAGGATTGGGCAGAGATTTTTCATCCTCAGAGTCAGAATGGGAGTACATGAGCTTTTGTGAATGAGTGCTCCTTGAATACGGATTTTGAATGTGCCTTAAACAATCC